CGACACCATGTCGGACCGGGTCACATGGGGCGGCGCGGGCCGAAGCCTGGGCCCGCCCCTCACACCCGCAGCCGTGGAGCGGCCTCGGGATGCGGGCCCGGCCGGGGAGTGGCCCACCTCCCATGCCCTGGGCCGACCAGAGCGTGTGGTGGGAGCACATGTACGCATTCGCCTAGCATGTGAGCAGCTGTCCGAGGCCGCAAAAGGAGCTTCCGCCCTCAAGAAGCACGCACATGGGTTGCCTTCCCTCTCCGGGAGCCCTCCTGTACCTCAGCTGATGCCTCCTTTCCACAGGCCACGGACCAGGGCCTCACAACTGCACCCCTAGATATTGGCAGGTTGCTTAGCCCGAATTCTCAGAGCATAAACCAGTCCTGGCAGTGAGGTGGTATTTTAAACATTTTGGAAGGTCGCAGTCATCTAGACCCTGAGTCCATAACTCCCCAGTCATGTTTCAGTAAATGGCAAAGCTATTAGTCACCACTCAAGTGCAAGTGGATTCTCCAAAGTCATCCAGGAGCCCTTCCCCACCCATTCTATTCAGAAGGACACAAATTTGAAGGGAGAGCTAAGAAAAATCTAAGTCTAGACATGCTGTCCTACACAGCCCCCTCTAGTCACATGTGGCTGTGGGGCATTTGAAATGTGTCTAGTCCGAATTGAAGTACTCTAAGCGTGAAAAACCCACCAGATTTTGAAGACTTACACAAGAAAAAGAATGTAAACTCTCATTAATAATTTTATACTATTACATGTTGAAGTGATAAGATTTTTGAGATACATTGGCCTAATATATTTTACTGTGACTACTGGAAAAGTTAAAACTATACATGTGACTTGCATTTGTAGCCCACATTTTTCTATTGGACAGCACTGGGGGAGGCAGTAAGATTTGGAGATGGGGTAGGAAGATGCCTATCTCTGTGTATTCTGTACCCCAAATTCTAATAGGAAGGATTTGAGGGCTTTATTTTGTAATTACATCTGAAGACCTATTTTCAGGAGCAAGAATGAATGAGAAAGCAACTCTGAAAATTATTCAACACCTAGCATAGCCAAGGAAACACCTAGCATAGCCAAGGAGACATCTAGGAAAGCAACTACATTGCATTATGTCACTGCAGAAGCATCATGTAACAAGGTCAGACTGGAATCTGGCTTTGGCCTAGAATTGCTTTTTGATCTTAGCAAAACAACAACAAAAAAAACCCCACCTATCTTGGCCTTTTAGTGTTCTCAGTCTGTAGTGGAGATAATGCCTCTGCCTTACTTTCGAGGGATAAATGAGATGATCCCTGTAAAATGCTTTGAACTCCTCTAAGAAAATTCTCAATAATAGTTACAGGTCAAATCCTGTTACAAAAAATACCCTTACCCACCCCTCCAAAAAAGTACAACAAAGGCTTTGTGTAGGAAAAGATTTCCAAACTCCAGCCAGTGGTTTACTTATTAATAGTAATATTTGATATGTTTCAGTACGAGAATTTAGAATAACTCAGATAATTATCAAGAAATTTACTAATTCATAATGTTAGAAGACTATTGAGGTAGGAACACTGCAAACTGAGGTAATCATCATCAACTCAACATTTATTGATTTTGCTACAGTTGTGTACTGTAAGCCACTCTGGAAGGAAGACAGAGATGAACATGGCATATGGGTCCTATATTTTGTGTTCATATTTGTTAAACATGTTTGTAATTTCTTGCTGTTTATTTAACCATTCCTTCACACAGAGTAAACCTGAGTAGTTCATCCACATTGCACCTAGTTTTTAATGGAGGACTTGAAGGCACAGAAAATTACTTAATTAACCCAGCATAAATTAAGTCAGTGTTAAAATCCACAATCACATAAATGTAACTTTTGCTCTTTACCCCACGTTGCCGTCATTGTTGGAGAAATTAAACCATCATTTTAAAACATTAAATCACTCTCTTTCACACCCAAACTAGAGATCAAGTGAACCGCTTAAGCTAGAATTTATGGTTTAATGATTTCCAAAAAGAGCCAAAATACTCACTATGCAGAAAGGCAAAGCCAAAATGGAAAACTGGCATATATTCTGTTATTTGGTGGTGATGTGTATCCCTAAATTCCTGAGCATTAAAAACAAAACAAAACAAAACAAAAACAAAAAAACCTACAGTTTAGTCTTGGCTCAGAGAAGCAGCTAGAATTTTTCATCAACCCTCCCCCTAAAATAAAATTTTAAAAATATAATTTGGGGTTTAAACCAAACTTGAAAAAAACTATATCACAAAGAGCATTTTTAAAAGTCTTTTCTGAGACAAGCTATTTTAAAAAATCAGCTGGATCTGAAAAGATGGTTTGTAACAAAAATAAGTGCATACCTCCATGGAGAATCTGAGGAGTATTTTATTATCAAAGAAAATAAATATATTAATAGCCAGGAAAAAAAAAAAGATGGAAAGAATACAGTAGACTTCAGAACATCTTTCAGAAAAGTCATCAATGCCCTTGAAGTTCAAATCCAGGAACCAATCATAATGAAATAATATAAGGAATGTGAAATTTACCTTGTTTTTGTAAGGCTTTTTATTTTAAATTTTTTAATTTGCATAATAATAAGTAAACTGAAAACACTGCACTACTTTTAACTTAGAATGCCAAAAATATGGAATTCATAATACATTAAAACTTAAGGCTCAATATGAATTTCCTTTCTTTTTTTTTAATTGAAGTATAGTTGACTTATAATGTTAGTTTTAGGTGTACAACAAAGTGGTTCAATGTTTTTATAGATTATACTCCGTTTAAATCTGTAAAATATTGGCTATATTCCCTATACTGTACAATATATGAGACTCAACGTGAATTTTATACTGGGTATTTAGAAATACTAATATAGTTTACTTTAAACGAAGATAAGAGGATTTTTAAGTACTTCGTGTATGTCCATGTAAGTGACATCCATAGTAGTGATACACTGTTATTATAGGTATTATAGGTATTATATGTTTAGGATTATAAAAAGGCTAGAGTTGTGTGATCTGTCCATTCTTATAAACATAGATGACAATCTCAGACAGGAGCTCGTTCCCACATCCAGTACTCCGGTGCCCACATACCCCTTAGTTAAGCCCTCAGGGTCCCAACCTTTAACTTTAAAAGTAGGCAGTTTTAACAGGGGAATTATTCCAAAATGAATGAGAAAGAAAGAGATTATTTTGTACATGACAATTTTCAATGTCAGATGCTCACCGTTATTTGTCTATAATATTAATAGCTTATACTTATTGAGCACTTACTGTACATCAGGCACTATCATAGAGCTTTCCATGTATTGTCTCACTTATTCCTATCAACAGCCACATGAGAAAAGATACTAGTAACCCAGCTTTTGCAGAAGATAGAACTGAGGCCTGTGGTCACATGGTTCCTAAATGACAGAACAGGTATCAAATCCAGACAGTCTAACCCCAAAGCTTGTACTCTGAACTGTACCTTTGCCATACACAGCAGAAAATGGAATAGGAATAAGGCATTGAATTCAGGGTCCTCTAGGATCCCTTACAACTTAATGTTGACACACCTAACAATATACTTTACCTCTGACCATCAAGCAATTCTGATATCTAAATAAAAGCTGCTTCTAAGCAACTAAAGTAGCTCCTGTCCTTGTTTCGATTACTTTTTAAGGGTTAACCATGTAGAACCTATAGCTTCTTATGCTTTTCAAGTCTTTGTGCAAAACTTTAAAAGGACTTGTAGGAATTAATATCTTGCAAAAGAACATATAACTAAAGTTTGATAATTCTTTCATTTTGCATCAGCTTCATTTACTTCTGTTAAATTTGAGTAACAATGTATGTATGGTATATATTATATGAGCCTTTTTTTGTAAATTTGTCCCTACCTCTATTATATTCAGTGAGAGACTTTGTAGAACAATGTTAATAATGTAACAGAATTGGGGGATTTTACTCTATACCTTTCTGTATTGCTTGATTTTTTTGGTAAGACGCATGTATCACCTTTACAAAATCAAAAAATTCTCTCAGAATGAAAAATAGAGTTGTCATGCATCCAGACACACCATGCAACAAGAAAGTTGGAATTATGAAGCCTAATATCATTGTCAGAGTTTCTAACTAGCCTCCTAACGTTTCTGCAAACTTTATTTATTCCATTTAAAATGTGTATCATGTAATAGTAAAATAATGAACAAATTAGAGTATTGGAAAAAGAAATAAGAGGCCTAACAATGAATAGATAAACATTTGAGCAGCTCATAAATATAAGAAGAGAATCTAAAGTGTTATTTTCAGAAAGTATCCATCAGGTGGGTAGTTTATATTCTGAAATCCTGTTAGAAACACCACCAAGATCTGCTCCGTCTTTCTATAAATCCACAATCTTTGTCATATTCAAAGGTAAAACATTTTATTTCATATGAAACAATTTAAA